ATACAAACAATTGCAATAGATTATTTTTGCATATTACAACATTTTTGTACAAAACAATATATTATTGTATACGTATATTTATGTGTAATAAAAATTAAAACTAGACTTTGCGTTTCGTATATATATCTCTTTTTCTCTCATAAATCTTTTCTAAAAATGAATTATAATAACGCTTATAATCTTATAATAACGCTTATAATATCAAAAGAAACGTCTAACATCTATGATAAAAAAGATAAATTTCTTATCTGTCTAAACTTGCAAAAAATACTCTTTAGATAATTATACTTTAAAATTCTTCAAAGATTTATTTTGAGAATCTATAAACTCGTCGCTTTATACGCAATTCTTTGCAGTAATTTGCTAGTGCGACACAAATGTTTCTTCGAAAAACACACGTCTGCGACACTTAATGTCATAATGAGCAGAGTGATTTCGTTATGTATCTTTGATTAGCCTTTAGCTTTGAAATTCTCCTACTATTGTCTTACCGACTATGTTGTGGCGGCACGATGTCATGGCAACCCCTGGCGTGTAAACTCTCGGCGTTAGTTGCGATTCACCCTCGATCGCGCGTCGCGATGCCGCCGAATACTCGAACCTAGAAATGTCATTGTTCAAAACAAAAGAATGGTGGAGGACGCAGTGCGGAGTGAACGAATCTTTCGACAGACGCAGCCTGCTGATCGCGCCGTTGTTCGGTGCCGACCGGAAAGACGTCATCATCGTCGGCAGCCACAGCGGACACCTCCGGATATACGGCCCGTCCTCACAATGGATAGACGAGACCAAGTCGCCGAGCGGCTTCAAATCCTCGGATCTAATCGTCGAGATGCAAATCGGCGACTGCATCGTCGACATCAAGGCGGGAAAATTCGTCTCGTAAGTGAGCTCGCGAGATTTGCGAAGTGAAAGGACATTATTGACGTCGCGAAGAATTGCACGTTTTTAACTCTGGAATGCATGACCTCGTAATGAAGATTTGCGAAAGCCGGAATAACAGGAAAAATCATTTCAACGGCTTAAAATCAATTACGATGGAAAAAATTAATTTAACCGAGAATGAGCTTGAACCGAGAATTAGCTACAAGAGAAATAAAAACTAGTCGTGTGTAAATAAGAGCAACGCAATGAAGATAGAAAATATAAATTATAGCAGAGCTCTCTAAAGCTTCGTCTCTTGGGCATCTTAGATTTATAGGAATATTTAATAATATTATCACTGCATAATTCGCAGGTTTTGTAATTATGATTAAAATTAAATAAATTATACAAATTAAAAATATATGTAAAAATCTCTATTTATTTTTAATAATTTAAATTAATCCTCTTAATTTTCTAAAAGTTGTAAAGTATTATTTAAAATTTAAAATTATTAAAATTATTTAAAATCATTTATAATTAAACAAAGGCACTTTTTACAGCTATATCTTATTTCAGTGGCTTGCAAGATATTCGACTTGCTGCTTTGACATCCAAGAAACTCATCATTTACTGTGTCATTTTGAAACAAGGTTCCGTCGAACATGGTTTGTATCACAATATACAATATCATATTAAATTATAAATTAAAATGTAAACATATTACTACTAACATATTACTCCTAAACATATTACAACTTGCTAACTTTTTTATCGCCCCCTTCAAACTTCTAAATTAATTTTATAAATTTCTCTTCTTGTATTAATATGTCAAAATATAATAATTAAATTAATAACGTTTTGTAATGTGCAATTATACAAATCGTTCTTCCATTAGTTTTAATTTGAAAATATATTTACGTTAATTATTAATTACGTTAATCGTTAATATTTAATTAAAACAAAAAACAGATGATATCGCTGCAGGAAATCTCGCATGACTTTTCTATTCTTTTAATTGGAGAATCACAATATGCGCCCCGTGTTATTGAAATATTAATGTTAATATCGTGACAATAACGTTAATCGCACGCAGGAACAACCTTCGAGAAAGATGGACAGCCTACAACAACCAGCAAGATCGATGGAATCGTGAGGTCCGCGTGTACAGGTCCGGTTGGAATTCTCGCGAGAGACCCGACTTAAAGAATGGTCCGCTAATTAGATTTTACAGTCTGAACAAACAAGTCTATACGGATATAGAATATGTCGAGCATTGCATATATTTTCATTTCATGCCTCGTGATCATTAATATCTCTCGTTATTAGTTACCACAGCTTATGCTACAACTGCTAATGCAATCGCCGCTATTATTACCGGCATTATCCTCATTATCGTTATATTATTATTATTATTGCTATTACTGTAATTCTTAAGTTCGATGTGCAATTTATATATTTGGGAGGACGGAACGTGTAATTACTTTTCGTTCGATCTCCGAGGGAGAAGGGGCCCTCACGGCCCGAGGCGGTCAATCCCATAGACCCGTCTCTTCTTCCGAGAGCCGGTCTTCCTGGCCGCGTAGATAAAACGACCGCGAGCGTCGGTGTGCCGCTAACGAGCATCACGAGCGCGTTAAGTTATTCCCGCGCGCAAAGATCCTCGACGAGATGAGAGATGGAGAGATGGAGAGATGCGCGCCGACAATATCTCGCGATACCGTCGTGGCTTATTACGACAGAGACGATTTTTGTACGACCGCTTCTTACTTGGCAACTCGCAACTCGTACAAATCGTAAAGCCGATATCTCCGCTCTCTGTCTCTTTTGCAGAGAATATGTAACGCGCACTCCGCGCGCGACGAATCGTGTCAGAATTGAAGTGGCCGTCATTGAAATTCATAGAACAATCAAGAAGATTACGGAGCAGCCGTAATACATGCGAAGATCTGACACGAGAGATAAGGCTAATTGTTACGCTACTCCGATAGATGAAAAGTTAATATTTTAGTTTCCTTTCCCTTAAATATAGTAAAATTCTAAAAAAAAATCAATTAAAATCTTTTTCAGCGAATTTTTCTCATTTATATTCTTATTCGTATCACGTGTTACAAACTCTCTGAAATGTGATTATTTGACGATCCCTCGTTGAATACACTGATACACTATTTTCGATCTTCGTAAATAGACGAATAAAATGCAGACTGCAACATTCAACGCTGATGGGTGGGGGGGGGGGAGGGGGGGAGCATAAATATGAACCTATGTGTGCTCAATCGTTCGGTCGTGCGATATCGTGTATCAAAGTACAGAAACGCGTCATGCAGTCTCGCTCATTACAGTGGCGAACGATCGAAAACGCAAGTACACAAGTACGACAAGTCTCTCCTTCTCGATGTTTCCTCCGTTTACGTCAATTTACGTAACGTCTGGGAGACTTTTTCAATTTCCTGCAACCGCCTCGATTGATGTTTCCACGCTTGATCTTGTATTGTTGATTTGAAATTAAAACGCCTTTGAAAGATCAAGGAGAAGTTAGATCAGACAAATTTGACCCTAGAATGCCATGTAAGGAATATTTGTCTGTATTAATATTAACACGATCTACGCAGTTCCATGCGGAAAATTATGTAACTGCCGCGGGGAAATATGAATTGGAATATGGTCTTGATCATTAGAACCTTACACAACCCTCGTCTCTATAATTTGTGATATCATTATGGTAATGTATAACGTATAATAATGTTACGATCTGAAATAATCTTCGCGTTGCACACTACAAAAAATATCAAATTGTATATGTACTTTATATTCCGTATAATACACTTCCGCCTATAATTTTTCGAATGTATTTTATGCAGTCAATCCGTAAAAAGACAATTAATATCAGATTTCAAGAAATTTATAGTTCTAGAAAGAGTTCTGATCACAGATATTATTTTTTCATTTTTTTTAGATGAATTTCTAATGAATTTTAAATGAATTTTAAATGAATTTTTAAAACGTTTATTGCCCAAGAGAAACTTCTACGAGCAACAAAGTTCTGGACAGAATGTGTCGAGAATTCCTTTGATAGATTTTCTAATCAGAATAATTTTCTCCGAAAAAGCCTTCCTAGGATGATAAATATTTAAAAAATGAGGATAACATTTCGTCGTCTCCCTTTTTAAAATTCATGTAGAACTATTTCTTAATCTTATAATGAATTGAAAAACTCACAAGACAAAGTGGGACACACGCGAACCTAACATCTCAATTTGTCCTAAAGTAAATTTCTGTATTTTAATGGCCAAAACTTTGTCTAACTTTGTCTGTATAGAACTATGAAACTATTAGAAAATTATAATTAGAGATAGCAGAAAAAAGATAAAATCAAAATTCCTAATAATTAATGAGTTTCCACGAAATAATACATCAGCATCACGTATACTCATTCCTCATTTTGTCAATTCCTTATTTTCATTATTAATCTATCAAATCGAAAGAAAATAAAGTTTGTCCGACGCTCAAAGGTAATCTTTCTGGCTGATGAAAAAGCGCTGGCTGGTCAAAATGACCGGTTCGGCCGTTCCGGTGTTAAAGGCTGCCTTCGCGGCTCGATCCGGGATCGAGAGGCGCCTCGAGCAAGTATCTCGTTAAATCTAGCCGATATTAGACGCGGCAACAACGACCGTCGGCCGTTTCGTAATAATTCGCGAGCGCCGATACGACGTCGAACACGTTACGTCGTCGAGCGCGTGCGCGCGATTCCTCTCCGAGCGGGCGTGGAACGGAACGCGAGAACGATTATCTCCCTCGGTGAAAAAAAAACTCACGGTTCACAGCCGATTTTCCGTTCCGACCGCACGCCCGCGGGGAAAACGCAAATTGCACGCGAGCTATTCTCACATACACAACTCGCGGCTGTCTGATTCACTTCTTTCGTGAGCTCGTTAAACACGTTGCGTCTACTTCCTGACGCCAAGAAGGCGCCATCAATTTTCCCATTAGCTTTTTTATTCCCGCAGCAAGAAGTATCAATTTTCTTTTACAAGTATTATTTGCTAAAGGCAAAATAAGAAATCAATTTTTTTTTTTCATTTCAGATTGACATTCGAAGGCATATATTAGTTAATTTATCAATTCGTAAAATTAAGAAAATATAAATAGATAGAATAAATAAAAATAATTGACAATAATATTATAATATTATAATTTATTTAATTAAAATAAATTAATAAATTCTTTTCCCTCCCGTATACAAACATCTAGATATTATGTTTATTTTTTATTAAAATAAAAAATACTAGTCTTACTTTCTTTTTTACTTAAATTTTAATTAGTACATGTGTGTATGACGCGCGCGCGCGCGCGCGCGCGTGTGTGTGTGTGTGTGTGTGTGTGTGTGAGCAAGAATATTCTCTCTTACTTATATCTTTCTTTTTTCATTGTCTTTATCTTTCTCGTTGATTTTTTTTCTGTTTACGCTATTCTAATGAAAGAAACGTGCTCATCTATACTTTGCCCACATTTTTTTCTCGCGCACTCGTTATAACATAGTCGTTGATATATACGGTCTGCAAAACACTGATCACTCTCGTCCGGACGCTCAAACGCGGCCACGGATGAATTGCGGTCTGACCTATATACAGACAGGAATCATGATTGTCCGCCGGCTCGAGCCGCTTGTCTAGCGCCGCTTGGGCTCGCACGTCAGTCTCGCATATTTATTTCTTCGATTAACTGTAATACATATATGTCTACAGGCGTACATAATCGGCCTGATTTAATGCCAAAGACCGTTTGAAAAAAATGCAAAGCAATTCTTACCAGATCTGACAAACATCATCCTTGTAACGGAAAAAATTCAAAGAACGCATTCCTCTCCAAGGAGTGCATTAATAAATATTACGTAACGCGTGTAATAAATTGATTCTCGAGATGCGTTGTTTAATCGTATGTTTAATCGTTCGAGTGGGTAAAAGTGAAAAGGAATATATATACGTGAAATAAAAACTTATGATAAATGACGATAAATAACACTTTTGTTGGGGAGGTTTATCAAATTAATCGAAAAATTATACAGATAAAATTATAAATAATGGAATGTACAAGTCTATTTTCCATCGTGGTTTATTAACGTTCATAGAAAATATTCTCTTTATAATGCATTATTCGTTTAATCAGTAAACAATCAGTAGACAATTTTTTTTGACGACTATGATAAGAAGTGCTATCGCAACGTTCGTTTCGCATTCGAAATGGTTGACGCGAAATTCCATTTCGATAAATAGAACGGGAATGTTTTATCCAAGTCTACGAGGTCTAATCGCAATCGAGGTCCGAACTATACAAAGATAATGTATTCATAAATTCTCCTTGGTACATAGTATAAAGTGGAAAAATGCAATGCAAAATACTCTAATATAAGAGGTTCAGAAATTTCTTTGATTTCTCCAATCTCAATATCAACTAAGATTTTCAATCATAAGTTTTTGTGTCTTAAATTAAAGATTATTAATAATAGCTATTTCTTATCACACCGTTGCAGGGGATCTCTGCAGCCTGGAAATCGCTTACGAGCACTTGCTCCCGCGATTTCCGGCGTCCCTGACGACGGGACCGTTCGGCGGCGTGCGGGGCCGGGACTTCCTCTGCGTCCAGTGCCTGGACGGCACGCTTCTCTTCTATGAGCAAGAGGCTCCCACCTTCAATCTGATTCTCGGGAATCGGCTGCTGCCGGAGCCGATCGTCTACGTTTCGCGGAACGACGTCTTCGTGACGACGAGCTCCTCGTGGATCCTCGAATGCTACAGGCAGGTTGTTCCACCGTACCGTTCCGAGTAGCCCGTCAATGAACACCTGCCGGTATACAGATAACGCGGTGCGAGATTAGATTGCAGCCTCGTCTGCACCCTTTCAGGATTATGAGCTGAGAGGACAAATGGAGAGATATATGACTGCCATCGGATCTGCAACAGAGAGAAGAAGCTATAAGCTGTCCAAAAGATTTGGAGGATCAACTTGGAATTTGATTGGAGAAGAAGAGTCTAATTAAACTCTTCAAAATGCTTCTCCATTATTTAGTAAAGAATCTTGCAGGCTGTGGATTCGATGTATCGATATACAGTTTAACAAAGTTGTAAATAATAATATTAAAACAGTAATGCAAGAGAACGATATCTTAGAAAAATTTAAAAAAATGTTAATTTTTTTCGTGTTTTTAAAATCCGATGAGCGAATTATGTAGCTTTATTAGGTATATCTTTAGAGATAGTTCGCTAATAGATATAGACAAAATAAGATCATCGCGGAAATATGTGTCTGTTTCGAACAGATATAAGAATATGGCGGAATTTGGCAGTAAGGATCACTCGGAGGAACCGAAGAACCTGGAACCGGACTGGAGTTATAATATTGGGGAAGCCATTCTCGATATCGACGCCGTTACTTTGAGCAGCTTCGAGGTCGGGATTCTCATACTCGGCGAGAAGAGTCTCTACTGTCTGAAAGACAATTGCGTTACCTTAAAATACGCAAAAAAGCTCGAGTACAAGGCATTGTGCTTTCAAGCTTACGTGATAGGTAATAACCGGCGGCAGATTTAGAAACTTTCCAAGAAAGAGAGAAAGAAAAAAAAAAAGAAATTAAATCTTGATCTTTTCTAAAAGCTTTCTATTTTTCCTTCTCTCTCTCTCTTTCTCTCAGAGAATAAAGGAAAGATGAGACAAATAGAAAAGAATCTCGCTCACGTGGGCGTGATCATTGCACGATGCGACACGTCTAATTAACTATTTTAACAGATAGAAAATAAATGTGCTAATTGAGCCTGATGCTTGTAGAACCGGATGGCAAGCTGATGGTGCTTGTAATTGCTGACACGAACACCCTGATGATTTACGAGGGTACGACTCTTAAGTGGTCAGCTCAGCTGCCTCTTACTCCAGTCGCCGTAACTCGAGCACATTTTCAGGTAACCAATTGCATAATTCTATAATTCATATCCTTATTTGATATGATATTTCGCGGTGTTGCTCGTCATAACAAACACAATAACGTGCCATCGTAAATTTAAAGAACTAACGATTTTCGTTTCATCTTTTCAATAACAAATCGTAATATTTTTTTATTATATATCGTAGTTAATAATTAATATTATATTAAAAGTTACATTAATTCATCTAATAATAACATTAGCAATAATTAATGTCACTAAACATTTTTTTCATTTTTTATGATATATTATGATATATTTATAATAAATTGAATAAAAACTATATAATGTTCTCACTATCAGTCGACAACTTGTTCATCTTGCGACAAAGTCGACATATTTCTTGAAAAAAAAAAAAAAAAAAGAAAAA